GCCATGCAAACAGTTGCATAGACCACCTTATGTACCAGGTCCCACATGTCACTAAAATAGGAACTTGCTCTGGGATGGAGAAGGGGAGATAGTGATGATGGAGTGTTTATTAGTCATTGTGAGAGTGAGTAGAGGGGAGTATCAATGTTGTCTGCTTTATCTCAGCCATTGAGAACATAGAGGCCCCATGATGTAGTGAATAGCGTGGGAGACTCAGAATCGGGTCCACCTGGCACTGGATAGCTATGTAACCACGAGTAGTTTTCCTCGTGTGTGAAATGGGAATAATGTTTATAGTCCCTATCTCATAAGATTGTTATGAGGTTAAAACGGGGTAAGTTATGTAAACTTTAAATGCTATATGAAGGCCAATTATTCTTCATGAGAATCAATCGGTAAACACTTATTAAGCAGCTACTATGTGCCAGGCATTGTGCTAAGCCCTGGGGATACAAAAAAGAAAAATAGGGGAAAGACAATATCTGCCCTCAATGAATTTACAATCTAATGCCACTTAGCTACTTCAGTCTTTATTTCCAGAGGGCCAGCAGAGGAAGTGGTCAGGAAGAAAGAGTAGGGATAGAACCTTGAACTCATTGAACAAGCTCTCTCTAGGTGTCCTTGGCCCCCCTGCTTCAGGCAGCCTCCCTTCTCTGACAAAAGCTAAGAGAATGGGATCCTAGGGAGTAGTGGCTAGTTAACTACATGGGGCTCACAAAGCTGTAGCTGATGAATTTGTAGGTATATATGAAGTCGGAGTAACTGACTTCCCCCCTCTTCCCCCCTTCCTTCCTTTTTTCTATTAAATTTTCTATTAACAATTTATTTTCTCTCTCTCCCACCTTCCCATTTGAAAAAATAAAAAAAAGGTGAACCCACCCCCAAAAAATATGCATAGTAAAGCAAAACAAATTTCAGTATTGGCAATGTCAAAAAATGCATGTCTTAATCTGAACCTTGAGTCTATCCACTCTCCTCTTTTTAATTTATACTAACAAAAAGCAAACCTCAGGGGCAGCTAGGTGGCACAGTGGATAGAGCACTGGCCCTGGAGTCAGGAGGACCTGAGTTCAAGCCAGGTCTCAGACCAAACACTTGACACTTACTAGCTGTGTGACCCTGGGCAAGTCATTTAACCCCAATTGCCTCGCCAAAAAAACAACAAAACAAAACCAAAAAAACCTCATTATTTGAAAGCAAGAATGCTTTGAAATTCTATTTTGGATCAGTTGCTACTCTTTGTTATAGGTTTAGGAGCCCAGTGGGCTACTTTGATTTTTTTCTGGAGTGGCATTTTCCTTTGTGCTTTCTTATTGTAGGTGGTGACTTTGAATACATCATTGCAGAGAAGAAAGGGAAGAATAATAATGTGGGGCTGGTCCAACTGAACCGGCCAAAGGCCCTGAATGCACTTTGCCAGGGTCTGATAAAGGAGCTTAACCAGGCCCTGATGACGTTTCAGAAGGATCCGTCCGTAGGAGCCATAGTCCTGACGGGCTCAGAAAAATCATTTGCAGGTGGGTCACATTGGATAGCAACAGTGACTAAATGACCTTGCCAAGTTTGGCTAGACTTATGGACAGCTCTATGAGTTGTAACTGACATTCCTCAACATACGTATTCTATTTACAGAGACCATCATAAAGCATAGCTTTGTATCCTCTCAATAGCACCTTTTAAAATATTGGTGATACCTATAAAATGGAAACTGATAGCAGATTAAAAAATTGAATTCAATAACGTGTTGCTTTCAGGAAATGCTATAAAGATAAGAGATACACACAAACTAAAAATAAAGGTCAGGAGTAGAATTTATTATGTAAAAAAACAGAGATAGTAATCATGATCTCAGACAAAGTTAAAGCTAAAATCAGATTTAATCAAAAGAGAAAAATAGGGAAACTACACTGTGTGTCAGCCATATTAATCAATAATTTTAGATCATATAACATAACTGGACAATATAAAAAAATGTGAGCATATACCTGCCAAAACACACAGGTATTATATGAATATAAACTCAGAACACCTTTTATGCAAACGAAGTATATAAATAAATCAAGTAATATTTATTGTGCATGGATAGGTAAAGCTAATGTAATTTACAAAAAGATAGTTTTAACCTAACTAATCTATGTAATGCCATCCCAATTAAATTATTAAAACATTGTCTTACTGAGTCAGAAAAAAATAATAACACGGTTCATTTGGAAGAGCAGAGTAGGAATTTCAAGGAAATCAGGGGTAAAAGATCTGAAGGGAATAGATTCAGTAATATTAGACCTTAACCATATTATAAGAGGAGAACAGTATTGAAGTATAAAATGGATAATTTTGATTATTTTAAATTAAAATTTTCCTGTATAAATAAAACCTATGTAGCCAAGAATAGAGGGAATACAGAAAATTGGGGAAAAACTCTCATAGACAGTCTCCCAGATAGAAGATGATTAGGTTGGAATATTGTGGTGTAGGAAATGATGAGCTGGTGGATTTAGAAAAATCTGTATATGTGTATATGTGTGCATGTTTATTGATTTCTGTGTATGTGCACATATATGTGTGTGTGTGTGTATATACATATCTCCACACTTAATTGTAGCCTTCTGGGGGGGGCAAGGAAGGGGGAAAAATAAAGTCAAAAGTGCACAGGAAAGGACAAAAGAAAACCTACAAGGAAGCAAAGAACACAATGTGTAGTATTTATTGTATAGGCTTTCTTGAGATGGAAATTTTTGCTTTATATTGAATCCTCTCTTATGTTCTGCTATGTACATGGCAATATTTTTTTTCTTTTCTTAATTTGTATTTAAGTTTAAAATAAATTTAAAACTTAAAAAAGATTAGAGTGAAACACTGTTTGGGGGCAACCATACCTCAAGTGATGTGGGATCGAGTGGGAAACGTGCTAGAAAGCAGCTGCCCTGTATATTCTTCAATCTATGCAACAAAGACTGGGAAATGGCTCTTTTAATAACCCCGTGACCTTGGGCAAATCACTGAACTTCCCTAAGACTTCATTTCCTCATTTGTAAAATGGCCTCTGGATCTGTGATTTAGTTCTCCCATCCCACCCCCCACACATATACTGGTGATTTCATTGGTGTAGGAAGCTGTAGGAAGTACTTCCTCCATCATTGTAGGTCCATGCCTTCTTTGCAGCTTATGGTCAGAGAGTTTCCTGGAACATGGAGTGGTTATGTGACTGTCCTTCACCATCAACATTGGTCAGAGTCAGGACTCTCCTGACTTCAAGGCTGACCTTCTTCTGTTTACTATACCGTGATGCCTTGCAAAATTAAGATTCAACTCCGCTTTTGTTTTGAATACTATTGTAATCATGTTCCTATAATTGTTTGATTTAAAATCCCAGCACACCTACTTACATTCCCACAAAGATTAGATTAGATTCTACGCTTTCGAAAGCTTAAGTGATGAGGGATGGGGCCTCTTCTCTGTGACAGTTAGATCTCCATCCATTTTTCTCTCTCTTTATAGCTGGAGCAGACATCAAGGAGTTACGTGATAAGACTTTACAATCCTGCTACTCAGATAATTTCTTAAAGGACTGGGACACCCTCAGCCACATCAAGAAGCCAGTCATAGCTGCTGTCAACGGTTTTGCAGTAAGTGTTGGTGCTTTTTCCCATCAGTTTCCTTCATCTTAGAGGGCCTAGTGATTCAATCCAAACATATTTAAAGCATAAATTTTGAATTTTCCCACTTGGAGCCCTCCACTAGTAGTTGGGGTCAAAAGGCATTTCTTTTATTTGAGTACCTAGAAATTCAGGAGGGTTCAGGGAGGAGTGGCTTCTCTCTTAGCAGTCATAACTTCTTCATGAAAACTAAACTTTAAACTGTATTCCACTGGTAAAAACTGAGTCCTACTGGAAGGCTTCAGGTTATTTGTTATGGCCCTTGGTGTGAATTAATCATCCTTTTTTTTTTTAAATCCAGGAAGTAGACATTGTAATTGCCTTTGTTCTTTATAGTTTCTTTTTATTTTTAACTTAAACTCCAAATGAAATGAGCATTTTCATATACAAAGTAGGACAGAAAAAGAGGATTATACATGAAAATTTTTATTATGTATAGTTTGTGTTTCCTTTTAAGTATGTAATAAATGCAGCACATAGCTTTCAAAGCTTCCCTGTTTGTATTTCCTTCAGGCCTTTCTTCTGTTGTCCCTCATGCATTCTTTTTTTAAAAATGCTACAATGACCCTCTCTTCTTTCTTCTCCCCAACTCTTTTTTTTTTTTTTAACTCCTTGATACTTCCCACCTCCTTCATTCTACAAATTGGAGGGAGGGAAGAAGGAGGGAATTAGAAAGGAAGGAAGGAAAGAGGGGAGGGAACAAGGGAGGCAGGCCCCTGTAAAAAAAATTTGCGTAGTCAAGCACAATAAATTGCCACATTGGCCATGTCTGAAAATGTTTGTCTCCTTCAGCACCTTTAGTCCATTGTCTTCATAATGTTTCTGTTATTGTATAAATTGTTCTCCTGTCCTATTTGCTTCGCTGGACATGAGTTTATACAAGTCTTCCTGGATTTGTCTGAAACCATCCCTTTTGTCATTTCTTACAATACAGTAATACTCTATTACATTTACATACCATAATTTCCCCATTCATTCCCTGATTGATGGACACTCCTTAGTTTCTAGTTCTTTTTTGTAACAAAGAGCTGCTATTGACATTTTTTTACATATAGATCTTTTTCTTCATTCTTTGTTCTCTTTGGGGTATGGATTTAGTAATGGTAATGACTTTGGGGGCATAATTCCAAATTATTTTCTACAGTGACTGTACCAGTGGCTTGCTCCACCAGCAGTACGTTAGTGTGCCTGTTTTCCCATAGCCCATCCAACAATTGTCCTTTTTTGTCATCTTCGCCGTTTGATGGATGGAACCTCAGAGTTGCTTTTATTTTCATTTCTCTGATAATGATTTGGAGCACTTTTTCATATGGTTATGTATAGCTTGAATTTAGAGCACTGCCTGATCCCGTTCTTTGACCATTTATCTATTGGGGAATGGTCATGGCCTTTAGCTTTTCAGGCTGTTTTATAGGATCACACAGGGTTTATCATTTTAACACCTGAGGTGCTCTTCTGGACCGCTGGCAGAGAATCTGAGATAGGGGTTTGTGCTTACCTGTTTTTTCTGGCAGCTTGTAATTTTACCTCTAGTCAGATGCTCATAGGGATCACTCTCTTGAGGAGATGGTCTTCATTTTCTTCATCTATAAAATGAAGGGGCTGTGTTGATCAGGCACTGGCTAAACCAATTATGGTATATAAATATAGTAGAATACTATTGTGCTGCAAGAAGTGATGCAGGGAATGGTTTCAGAGAAACCTGGGAAGGCTCGTATGAACCAATGCAGAATGAAATAAACAGAACAAGGAGAACCATTAATACAACAACAACATTGTGAAGACAAACAGCTTTGAAATACTTAAGAATTTTCATCAAAGCAATGACCGACTACAGTTCCAGACAGCACATGATACATGCTACCCACCTTTAGAGAGGGGGAGGTGACTGACTCAGAGTGCAGACAGACATATTTTCTTGGACATGACCAGTGCAGGAATTTGTTTTGCTTGACTCTGCATATGTGTTACAAGGATTTGGGTTTTTGTTGTCAGTAAAGGATAAGAGAGGTGGCAGGAGAAAGAGAATATAAATTTTTGTTCATTGAAAAAATTTCATTTAAAAATGACTTAGCTCAAAGATCCTCCAAAAATAAAAATCCCCCAAATATAATTAATTTCAAAAGTAAGATGAAGGAACTGGACTAAATGACCCGTAGTTTCCCTTCTCTGTGCCATCCTGTGTTGTGATAGTATTTGAATCTTAAGTAATTCATCAGTCTTAAAACATTTTCTTCATGCATTTGGTATAAAACACTTTTTTCTGAGTACTTTTCCAGCTCCTTAGATGAATTAAAATACAGAATTTCTTCTTAAAGGCTAATAGGAAGGAATGCTTCAGTTTTTCAGCCCACCTTTCAGGAATATACATGTTGTTTTTTGTTGAGTGTAAGAGCTACTTTCAGGGCTAATGGTGCCTTATGGTAGAGCAGGGAGCGTGAGAATAAGTTCAGGGTTAAAGTACTGTGTTAGAAATGTCATCAGTCCTCCAAGGTTAAATGCTGGGCTTTTGGCTCACCTCACTCTTCAGAAGGATTGCTTTCCTATTGTGTCAGCTTCTTCCCTTTTTTGTTTTAAGGGATTTAAAACTGACAGATGGAATCATGGTTTGGTTTCTGCTGTGCACTAATGGCATTGTGTTTGTCTTTGCAGCTTGGGGGAGGCTGTGAGCTTGCTATGATGTGTGACATCGTCTATGCCGGCGAGAAGGCTCAATTTGGACAGCCAGAGATCCTGATAGGGACCATCCCAGGTAATGAGCCCACAGGCTATGAGATAAACTCCTAATTTTGCCACTAAAGTTGTCTTCCCATGAGTAACCCTGGGGTTTGAGGGCTATGTAGCAAAGTCCCAGAATGCTGTCAGGTCTTAACTGGAAGTTGGAGAGGAGAGAGGGCCTCATCACCAGAAAGCCGCCTACTCAAGTGAGTGTGTGTGTGTGTCTGTGTGTGTCTGTGTGTCTGTGTGTCTCTGTGTGTGTTATTATCACTGAAGGGTAGATCCACCCTGTAATCCTGGATCCTTGGAGTATTAAAGGAAATAAGACCTTAATTCATTTGATACCTAACAATTGATATAACACTTTGGAGGGTGAAAAGGTGTCTGAAATGAGGTTGAACAGAGGCAGAGAGGGTTAGTCCTTGAAACAAGGACTAGAAATTTGTGTTGGATCCAGGAAGTGAGAATCTCGTAGAGAGACATGAGGTTAACTTATTTTAGCAGCTTATGTTTGGGTGACATAGGCCCCGACCTGGGACTGGACCCAGAGTTATTCCCCTTTTTTTAAGGTTTAAACAGGTTATGGAAGGACCTTAGAGGACAACCTTGGGTTCAGTCTAGGCTCCTTCAATTACTAATTAAAGTACTGTGGGAAAGTTATCTCATGTCTGCCTCCACTTCCTTATCTGTCAGTTGGGACTGGTAATATTTCTATGACCCACCTCACAAGATTGATATGAGGCCTGGACCTGGCAATCCTTGAAGCCCTGGGTCAGTGTGACTGGGGATGAGTTAGTGTGACAAGAGCAAACACATATATGTGTGTATATATGTGCAGCTTGTGATACATGTGTATGTATATACATTTACACACATACATACATGATGTATATATACAAGACACATTTGTATCTATACAGAGAGACAGAGTTTAGCTTATGGCTTGGAGAAGGGTCATAGGATCATAGCTTTGGAGCTAGAAGGTTAGACACAATAGGCCTTTTACCTGATGTCTTTATTTACCACGGTATGCAACGTGGCTTACCTGGAATCACCCAAGGGCATGAAAGAGAAGGACAGGGGATCGGGCAGGAATTTGGAGGGGGCAAGTACACACAGGGGTCTAGTTTAGAGTCATTTGCAGGATAAGGATTCAACAAAAATCTGGAGGGGGACCTTGCATGCCAAGGAGGATGGAGTCAAAAATATTGACCAAGTTCTGGTTACTGTGTGCATTTGGGCAATTGATCAGAATTGGGTGATGAGGTCTCCATTACGTGCATCAGATTAAACTAAATTCAAAAGGTAGGCAACACATATCAGGGAGATTGCATGGGAAATGGATGTTTCTAGCCTGTCAGATTCCAGAAGAGTATTCCAAGTGCCAAGCAGAAGAAAGGGATTTTAGAACTGGCTACAACTGCTTGTTGATGGGTAACAATTATTATTCATTAAATTGTTTTACTCCTAATACCTCCCTGTTAAGTACTGAGGGCCTGGGAGTTCTGAGTTGGGGTGGGAAGAGTTCACTAGGGATATGGGGTACTGTTCCAAAATTATCTTTTTCTCCATTGAGGGGCCCACAGTGGGAATTATTGAGAAAGCCAGTGGGTAAAAAGAAAGAGAAAGAAATGAAGGCAATTAAGCACCAAAGACACTCTTTACTAGGGCTTGGATAGGCAGGCTAGAAGTAACTGAAAGACTTAAATATCTAAGGGAATTCCTGGAAGTGAAATGCACTAATGCCCTGTAGTTTTTCTGTTAAGAATTTTTCTGCTACCCCCACTTATTGCCTCTTCACTCCGTGTTTGCCCTTAACTATCTTATCTGTCCCATCCTTGACCCTCCTTTATTGAGCCCAATAATACCCTTGAAGCTTGTAGATGGGTTGGTATTGGTATCCTTTTTTTTTTTTTGAGAGAGAGCGCTTAATAATTCTTTCATTCCTCTTAGGTTCTGGAGGAACTCAGAGACTTACCCGGGTAGTTGGGAAGTCTTTGGCAATGGAGATGGTCCTTACAGGTGACCGAATCTCAGCTCAAGAAGCCAAGCAAGCAGGTACTGGCCCCAGACTTTTGTAGCTGCCATTTCAACCAGTCAGTCAGTAAGCATTTATTAAGCCCCTACTGTGTGCCAGGTACAGTGCTAAGCACTGGGGATTTCAAAGCAAGGCAAAAGGCAGTCCCTGCCCTCAGGGAGCTGTCTAGTCTACAGTCCACAGTCTAATGGTAGCTCACAATAGGGAATTCACTCTCACTATGCTAAGGTTGGAGGGAGATTTTGTATCCATTGTTTTTCTCCTGTGTTCAAATAGATTGTTCCTCGAGAATCCTCTCAGAAGGGGGGCCATTATTCTTCTTGTATGTGCTCAAGGACCTTGGTGCTACTGGCACTTATAGGGTGGCAGAAAGTTGCATGATTGCCCAGTGAGCCTTTTCACCCTGCCCACTTCCAAGAGTGTCGGTAAGAGGTTTGACAAAAGGGAATTTGATACTCTCCTCCCTTGAATTATTACTGCCTGGAGATTGGTTCAGTCCATCCTCAAGAGAAAACCCAATACATCCCTGTTCAATTCTCATCCTTGATAACCATCCACACAAGGTCTCTGGGAGGAAACTCTTGGTTTAATCTCGATGATGAGGAGAGGAAGCATAGAATGTGTATTTGCTGAGTTGATTTACTTATTGATTTTGGAAAGGTGTTTATTGTTCTATAAGAAACTGGTCTTGAATACTTTCTTGGAAGTCTTGAATACTTTCAAATTGTCATTGATGAAGTAGGAACAGTGACTAAATGCCTTCAGATGTATTTCTTTGGTGTGCTGTTGACCTTGTTTTTTGCTTTAGGCCTCGTCAGCAAAATTTTCCCTGTGGAGAAGCTGGTTGAAGAAGCCATCCAATGTGCAGAAAAAATTGCCAGCAATTCTAAAATTGTGACAGAAATGGCCAAAGAGGCAGTGAATGCAGGTAGTGAATTTAGCAAAAGGAAATAGAGTGGAAGGGGTATCTGGGGGAGGGACTGAGGTTTCAGGGAATGGTTCTAAAATCTGAAATCTAATGGCATTGAATGATATCGTGGTATTCTTTTGGATTTTCAGATATTTCAGTTGGTGGTGGAGCAATCTTCTGTCTAAGCAAGATGGCCTAGATTCTTAACATTTGTAACAAAGTGAAAACTCTCTCCTTCATAACTTCCATGTAACACATGTGACTTTTGCTTAAGCTAAATAGGAGAGCAGAATTTCCTGTGCTTGTTAGAGAATTCAGTTAAGAACAGATGTCCACCAGATGTCCAGCCTGTGCTGAAGGCCTATGACATTGGCTGTTTGAGTCCAATAGGTGTGGAAATAAATAGTCCAATAATATAGTTACCCTAGGTTTTTGTTTTTCCCCATGGTAGGTTAGATCATCATAAAACAAAGGATCTGAACCATATTATCCTAGCTTTCTCTAAAAAGAGCCATGTTACATTCACCCTTAACCTTTATTAGAGGGTCAGTAGAAATCTGTTTAAATGGAGTTTGGCTTACATAAAGCCATAGTTGAAGATATTATCAATTATTTGGCCCATTGCACCCTTATTCAAGCACTGCTGGAATAAATTTTTCCGTAAGATTTACTTCCAGGAAAAAAAAAATCTGTCTCTGCCAAATTGATCACTGTGCTTTCATTTGTTAGAAGAGGAATATGCAGTAACTCACTGTGTTCTCTTGTCTTACCTTCCAGAGGGCAAATCACTGCCTTGTAGTAGCAATCATTGTTTTTTCAGTACCTAGAAACCTCTACTCTGAGCTTCTTGAGCTCATCTAGTTCTCTTTATAAGCCACCCAAACTCTCTGGGAAGTGGGTGGGATATAAATTAAACAAATTTCCCAAGGGCAGACCCTTTTTGCCTGATTTACCTTTCACCTCCTTCCTTGTACCTCCCAGAATCCTTGTATCTATCTTATAAGCTTGTGGAACAGAGGTCCTTCACCTTGTTTTGTCTCACAAATCCCTTTGGTAGGCTGGTGAAGCCTATGGACCCCTCCTCAGAATAATGCTTTCAAATACATAAACTATATAGGACTTGATATGGGAGAAATATCTCCTCTCTGAGTTCTTGTGGTGGGTGGCTTCTGGCAAATACATATTTACCACAATGCAGAAATTATGGTGGTAAAAGCCTACGTTTTATTATTATGCTTAAGTATAGGTTTAGGCCTCAGAGTAAACTTGAACCACCATGAGGATTCTGACAAGGCTTCTTAGAATTATAAGTAACAATTATATTATTAGAAAATTATATACCAGAATCATAGCAAAATAATTCTTTTACATATTGCAATCTTCTGCATTCCCTTTAGGCCATAAAAGTTAAAGAGAAAATAGATCCAATATCCCATACTTTCTTCAATGTCATAAAAGTTGTACAAACTTAGTTAAACAGAATCCTAATCTTCTATATCTCTAAGGAAACAAACTTCATCAAACTAACTCTGCAGGTAAACTGAGTCAGATTACAGATTAATCTACTTATGGAGGATTCATAATAGGCTGATTGAGGAGGAGGATTTACTCATCTCCAAGGAGTCCGAGACATTTGAGATTCTTCCTCAGTCTCCTTATCTGAGGAATACTTACGCTCTTCAGTAAATTTTTACATCCCATGGAACAGCTTTTGTTCACTTGAAGTTAACTTGAAAACAAACTTACAGTTAACCAAAAATTGCAGGAGTGGCCCTGAGTCCTGAATAATAAAAGGGAATCAAAAATGCCTCTCACATATTGCAAAAACCAGCTATATTGAAATACAACGATCAGATTATTAAAAGTTCCAAGTTCATGGACACCCTGAAATCTATCCACAGACCTCTTGGAGTTCCATAGACTTAAGAACTCCTACCCTAGGGGTATTTGCTTACTTCTGATACAACCTGCTGCAAAAATCTCCAAATGAAACCAGCCTTTGGACTTACACCTCAAACAGAGTGTAAAGCATGTGCCTAGGAGTAGTGTCTTTTGTACACTGCTGCCTGTCAGACACAAAAGAGGGTCTTCCTCTGGGTACAGTTCTTGAAATGGAAGGTTAAGGATTAGAAACTGTTGGCCACATGAATCTTTTTCTGACTGTTGTGAATGGAGCTATGTAAGAAAAGGACTAGAAGTTGGGAAAGCTCTGGGCCTAATGCCACTAATTAGCTTGGGGCTTTAGGGCACAGCACGTTTTCTCTGGGCCTGTCTCCTCTCCTGTAAAGTGCCTGAGACACGGGGACAAAAAGTGCTCTGAAAGCCCTTCCAGCACATTTGTTTAACTTCTTTATTATTCTTTATTCGATCGTTTACAGAATTTTATCTGATACAACAATGGTGGGGGGGAAGGTGGTAATAAGTATGGAGTTTTGAGACCCTCACATTCACTAGTATTGAGGTCACAAGTTTCTGAAGTGTTTCTTAAGGAGCACCATGTGCTCCTATTGTGTACTGCAATTTAAAATAAGCTACAGTGAACCGGTAGCTGCCAAGCACACCCAAGGCCCTTGGATTTGAGTTGATCTGGCACGACCTAGGGGACCTGACAACTTCTGATATTCTGTGGAATCATAGGACATTGAGGCTAAACATAGGAGGAATAAGGCTAAACTTCGCAGAGGCCAGTCCTATTTGGTGAGCACTTTGACCAAAAAACATCCAGAAAACAACAACATCACGCACGCACACACGCACATCCTGTATCTTCCACATTCTTGATTTGTCTGATTTGTTTTTCAGCTTTTGAGATGACATTAGCAGAAGGCATTAGATTGGAGAAGAAACTCTTCTACTCAACCTTTGCCACTGTAAGTAAATGGTTGATCCAATGTTGGTGCCCCAGTTATACCAGAGAAGTCAGAGGAGTTCAGATTAAAGCCTTTACTCACATGTGACCTTAACATAAAAACAGGAGGTTATGTAATTAAGGCCCTTCTGATGATGTGGAGGCTGCTCTGGGTTCTTTAGGCTTGTGCCAACTGAATACAAGCTTTGGCAGGTCTTACCAAGCCCAGAAGCCTTCAGATACGTGCACAGCTATCATTAGAAGACCAGTCTAGCCAAATTTTAAGGGGTTCCCCTCCCCCCAGAAGAGTGGCTCTCAGATGCTGATTTTCTAATCAAATAGATAACACACTTTATAAAGCATTCCATCAGTGTGTACTTCTATTATTGTTTCTGGCAACTCATGAAGACTGTCTACTGAGGCACGGAGGGCCAAAGCGAGTACCAGCGCTTCTCTGAAGCATATGGTTAATTGGCACTTCAGCTTGGCCAGGAGTGGTAGTTGCCTCTTGCCTAGCTGGCTCAGCTCTGATTTCCAGATTTAGCTGGACATGTTTAACCTGCTTAGAACAGACATAGTACAATATAAGGAAGTCAGGAGTTAGAAAAGGATCATTTAGAAGATTATTCCAGGCATTATAAAGAAGGATTTGCCATCTTTTTTGACAGTTCCTTTAATGTATTTAAAACATCTTATTTACACACTTTTTTTCTGAAATATATGTAATAAACATTCTTTTCACGTGCGCGTGTGTGTGTGTGTGTGTGTTGTATAAAACGTTATATCACCCAGATTTTTATGTAGAGATATATGAAGCTTAAGCTAATAATTTTAGAATCTTTGCTGGTAACCAAAGGAAAGAAGACTTCTATGAATTCTCATTCTTATTTCTTCATTCCTGATGAGTGCCCACTGTGCTAGAGGTTTTACAGAACAAGTAAAAGAGTCTCTTTCTAACATGTGAAAGTATGTGAGTCATGTATTGGTGCCTAAGAGATATGAACTCAGATATGGAGAGACCTGGGTTTCAATCTTGCCATACTGATTGGCAGGCAACTCACTTGACCTTTCTGAGCTTTGGTTTGAAGATAGTAATAGCACCAACCTCCCATCCATGTTGTGGGTCTCATCCACTTGTTAAAGCTTAAAGCAGCTTGTATTATCATGGACAGAGCCCTGGAATTGCAATCTGAGGCCCTGGGTTCTTAATTCTATCTCTGTTACCACCTTCTGTGTGACTCAGGACAAATCACATAACTTCTCTGGGCCTCAGTGTGTGGGCCCTGGGTCCTTCTCAGCTCCCACAACTGTGTGATCCCATGCTCTCTGACTCTTCCACACTCCCCTTGGTGAAGATTGCAGATCTTTTTCTTCTAGTCTCCTTTATCCCCTCTCTCATCTACAAAATGAGGGAGTTAGACCAGATGGCTTTTAAGGCTTCTCTCAATTCTAAATCTGTGAGCCTTTGATCTATTTATTGGCTTTGGCATTTAAAACGTAATGTCCTAACAGTGTTGAGATATTGTCGTCTCTCGTGTTTTCCATAATACTCCATATCAAATGAAAATAGATTCTTAATAAATGTTTATGATTGTGATGTTGGTGGAATGATGGAGATGAATGCAAAAGACCTTGCTTTTGACAAGCGATTGGCTTTAGTGGGGAGAACAGCCTAGGATGCCACAGATGGGATTTGTATAGGAGGTTGGAGTGAATGTGTATAAGTAGGAATATATGAAGATATAGGAAGCAACTAAATGTCATAAATTCATAGACTTTTTTCACAATAGGGGGAGATTAGGGACTAAAAGAAGGAAGATTGTATGTCAATGCCAACTTTTCCCTTTTCTTTCTTCACAAAAGGATGACCAGAAAGAAGGAGTGAGTGCATTTGTGGAGAAGAGGAAGGCCAACTTTAAGGACAAGTAACTACTGGCTTATTCTTAAGAAGTGGCAAGGAGACAAATTTTTCTTTAGAAGTGACTTTTAAAAAATAAAAATAAATCATAGCTATTGTACACAGGTAAACTATAAATGACCCAATGTGCCTCTTGTAAAACTGCAGTGTTGCTTCGGAAGATTATTCAGGGCATCCTTTGCTGATTCAGAGAGCTTGTCCTCTATACTTTGGTGCACCAGAATCCAAGATCTTGTCTCAAGACACTGAAGTCATTTATTTGCCTTAATGGATCTGTCTCTGCATCGTCATTAATTCCAGTGCCAGGTGCACCTTACCAATTTGATCTTATTGTCTGATGTTAGGTCAGAAATTGGTGGAAGCCTTCAGTGTTCTGTATTAAAACAACATCACGTGACACGTAAGGGACTTGGAATCTGGACCAGTCTGTTTGTATTCACTGTCATTTGAATGTAATCATGTCAACATGAGAAACATTTCCTTCGTGCTTTTGTGCTTATTTAAATTATATGGAAAAGCCATTGATTAAAATGACTTCTTACTCATTATACCTTTTGTTTAAAGAGCTGAGAGTTAAAAAAAACTTCATTTTTGTAGTAGTGCCACAAAACAGATAGGGAGCCATCATGCAGGAATGTAGCATCCTTTTTTAGGGTGATTACTTGTTACTTAGGCCCTGTTCATGTGTCTGGCAGCCTCAGTTAATAGGGACATAGTCAAGAACCAGGAAGGAGGCTGAGAATGTTTCTGAGCAGCTAAAATGGACATCAGAATGTCTGTTAATGGAAATTCATGCATTTGCTTTTAGGAGATGGCCTCCTTCAGAACCAGATGATTGGATTAGGCACAATTCAGTAGGCCTGGCAATCCTGCTTTCCAGCGCAAAGCTGCAAATAAGTAATGGAAGCCCGAGGACAGTAGCAGGAAGTGATTGCCTGTGGCTTAAGAGCAAAGAAAGAGACACAAGAACTAAAAAAGTATCTACGGGAACCCAAAACGTGTTCTGGGGCAATTTAGAGGAGATATAGTGAATGCCCTGAATTTGGAGTCAAAAGGTTTGTGTTCAAGTTGTACTATCATAGATTTAGAGTCTGATGGGTCCTTAGATGTCATCTAGTTCAACTTCCTCATTACAGATGAGGAAACTAAGGCAGAAAAGAGAGTAGTGATTTATTCACCCAAGGTCACATGGAACGAGTAGCACAGCTGCTGTGTGACCCTGGGCAAGTTACTTAACCCTTCCTTGTGTGCCTCAGTTTCCTCATCTATAAAATGGGGATCATACTAGCGCCTGACATTCAGAGATGTTGTGAGGATCAAATGAGATGATTATGAAGAGCTTAGCACAGTGCCTGGCACATAGTAGGCACTATAACCATGTTAGCCATGCCTATTTTTAAGTAGACTTTCCAGCTCATCCTACTGTACCCAGTCCTACCTTAATTCAGTGATTTACTAGTTGTATGACCTTGGATAAGTGTCTTCATTTTCTCTGGGCCTCGGGTACCTCATCTCTGTAAAGAGAGGACTGTGCTTAGCCTTTTCCACTTATAACATTCTGAACAGTAGGTTTCGCCTCATACTTGTTGAGTTGGCAAAGATGGTGAAAGTTGGAAATTGTCGATATTGGTGGAACTATGAGAAGATAAACACAGATACGCTCGCTGCTGGGGGAGCTGTGCATTTGCCTGGTTATCCTGGAAAATGATTTGTTCTTATGTGAGAGAAGTCACCAAACTCTTCTTCCCCCTTGGTCCAATGAAGCTACTACCGCTGGAATAACATAAGGTGCCTGATAGGATGAAATACCAATGAAAGGGCTTTGTGGTAGCAAAATAATGTGGGTGCCCGCCCATTGGTGGAGAAATGGCAGAGCAGATTGTGTGACATGAATGTAATTGAACATGAATCATGAGAAATTATGAAAATAAGGAATTTAGAAGAACATGGACAACTGAAGTGGTACAGAATGAAGAAAGTCTACATGAAGAAAGTCTACCTAAAGAAACATCCACTATTCTGATAATGCAAATGACAATATTGCTAAAAGTCAATGGAACTCGGATTAACGGTAGTGAATAACCTTGGTCCTTGAGCTGAAAGAGGGTTAACATCTCTCCTTTGTAGAAGGGTAGGGGGCTATAGGGAGAGAAAGTGCCGTAGGTTGTCATCCTCCTTGCTTTGTTGGTCAATTAGGCTTAACTTTCTCTTTGTTACAAGGTAGGTTTAAAGGAGGGGAGGAGAAGCATATCAGAAAATGACAAATGTAAAAATATATGTTTTTAAATGGGAGGAGGTGAAGAATAACTGTCTCTTAAATAAAAAAAACAAAAACAAGCACGAAACCCTGTGGCCTACAGGTGGGAATAGGGCTTAAATTTGAGAAAGCCTGCATTTGTTCAGATGGTCACTAGAGGGCTATGTCACACTGACTTCTAGAGACTTGGAAATTGAGAAATAGTGGTCAAACTGGAAAGAAAAATGGGGATCTTTTTCAAGCAGCAAGCAGGATTGCTTTTATTCTGCTTAACAAGTTAGAAGTATGGAGAACACTTTTTAGATTTCTGTTGGAACTTATTCCAGTTTAAAAGTTTTGGAACTGAATGAAGCAAACCTTAATTAGGGCAATTAACTGGCACAGCAGATAGAGTGCCGGATCTGGAGTCAGGAAGACCAGAGTTCAAATTTGGCTTCAGATACTAGCTGTGTGACCCTGCGCAAGTCGCTTCACCCAGTTTGCTTCAGTTTCCTCATTTGTAAAATGAGCTGGAGAAGGAAATGACAAACCACTCCAGTATCTCTGCCAAGAAAACCCTAAAAGGGCGTCGTGAAGACTTGGACGCAACTGAAATGACTAAAAAACAAAACCTTAATTAATCTAGAAAATGCAAATATGGGATTGACATCATCTCTGAGACTGGATAAATAGAGTATTACTACATAAAGACATCTGATAACTTTTTAGAGCCACCAGGAATTGAGTTACGTTTATGATGTCCAGCTGCCTGCCATGACTATCAAAATATCTATCCCCAAATAACTGGCAATTTCAAATGAGCATGCAAAAATGACACAGTGGGGCAAGATCTTCCTCCACAAGTAAATAGTATCACACCTTGCAGACCCTACCCAGATTTTACCATCATCTCTAGTCCACTATTAATGAAATACAGACTCCAGATTCTATCACTTCGAATTTTACTGAAAGAAATTTTTCTATCAATAACCAATTATTAAATTAGGATCCAGGCTTTTACCCTCTTGTTTCTCTACTGAGGCCCAATTCCTGTGGAAGGTAAGCCTTTGAAGGATGTCTGATTGAGATGAGTTCTCACCTTCAGGGAACATGCTCTTTGATCTTGGCTGGACTCCACTCAACTAGGAGACTTTACTTCTGCTTAGAGTGTAAACAGAATCCCACCTAGGTGAGTTCTTATCCCAAAGGAAATGAGTCCGTGTCCTTGAACCCCCCCCCATTAGAGTTTAGGGTGCCCCAGCTCATGAAAGAGAAAACCAATCAGAGTGGTCTGGATGGAGATGTATTCCCCTGTTCAGATTACTGGAGGCAGCTAAGTCTCATGATCAAGCCATGTTCTCAGCAGGAGGAGCTGAAGACCTCCAGCCCAGCTCCTCATTAAATGTTCACCAGTTAGGGTTGATTTTCAGTTGTCCAGGAAATTCACTTTCAAGGATTATTTAAAGCTTTCAGGCCCTTCATATCTTTGGTCTTTGGTTGCCCAGAGAAATTGATCAATTTATTGATTATTAGCTAGCCTAATTGATAAATTGATTATCAGAAACTATCAGGTTTTCATTTGTCACATTACTGATTCAATTGAATGCTTTATATGCTGTAGTATGAGGTTAGTAGTAAGGAGTTAACTGATGTTTATGTGGACCTTTACAGTTAGCAAAAGATTTTTACATATTTTAGCTCGCTCAGTACTGTACTGGTATCCTCAAGTTAGCAAGAGACCCAGAGGAAGACCTCTAGTATATTTGGTGTAACCTCCGTGCAAGATTTATGGGAAGGCATGGGCAAGAATTACAATAACAAATGGCATAGCATCTGATGGGACCAATTCTTCATAAAGCATTCTGGTTCCTTGAGATCGTTGCTTGACTTCCACTAACCATCTTTAGTACATTCTAGAATTATGCTAGGAATTAAATTACTCTGAAATTTAGAATTGTGTTTCTGACAAGATAGTCTGACTGTAGGCCATGGGTGGGGGGTGGGAGGAGAGAGGGCTGGCCAAGACATTCTCTATGGCTCTCTGAAATTTGGTGGCTTTGATTATGACATACCTGACAGAATGTAAACTGGATAGGAGAGCCTGTTTCATTTTTGCCTTGTACCCCCAGTGCCTGGCACAGAGTAACTACTTAATAAATGCTTGGTGATTGATTGGCATGTCCAGTGACATGAAGTATGTGCTCAGATTGATGACCCAGTAGAGCTGCCACCAAGCCTGTTGTAACTACTGACACTTCTGTCTCCGGGGGTAATGGCCTTAGATTTCTTCTGGATCTACACTTATACCCAGGACACAATTCCATCTTGGTGGAGGTAGACGCCCTGAACAAGAAGGGTTCCTGCTTCCCTTGCCAGGGGCTACCAGTCCTGGTCTCCATGGTCTTCCACTGACATAATCTCTCATCTAAGCTCCCAGTTTCTCTTACATTTCTTGTCTACACCATTCATGACTTTTCAGGTAAAAAAAATGACCTTTCAAAATCATTTCATTTCTCTCTCATGGGCAGAAAGGGTAGCTGAACCAAACACTGCCAGGAACAGTATTTCTAGTACAATACTCATCAAGATAATAGAAAACTTAACTTCCTATCCTGTTTTAAAGACAAACAAATGCCAGTTCTCTCATCTATCCAGGACATGTTCTTTTATACATATTATTATTCTTCCTGCTCTGTACCTGAAGGCAAGGTATGTTGTGATTCCCCCTTCCCCTAGGGTTCTTTGGTAATCTTTAAGGGAATTTAGGGGCAACTGGTCTCTAGCATTGACTCAAGCCCCCACCAATTGTGTTGCACCCATTTTAGGGAGGTGCCCTACACTCCAATTCCACTTAACCACTTAGTCTTTACAAAAGAATATGTACTTCAAAGGTATAACATAAACATACAAACATCTTCCCCCATACCTAGTATGATCTCCCCTTATACCACTTAAGTGTCTGGGGAGGAGAGGGAGATAAGATTCATAGTTTAATTCAATTCCTATGTACCATCAGTACTACTAAATTCCAAGTCCAAAACCTTGGGCTTAAGTCCAAGCACTGGCTTCTCAGGATTCCCTGCTTGGGTGGCATCAGTATCTGTCCTGGAATCCTAGTTCCAAAGTTGACATGACTCAACCTCCGGGGTGTAGGGGCTCTGTTAGCAGTGCCTCAGACTAGAAGGAATAAACAAAACGAACCAAAACCTTCAAACCCATTTTTTTTTTCTTTTTGGTGAGGCAGTCAGGGTTAAGTGACTTGCACGGGGTCACACAGTAAGTGTCAAGTATCTGAGACCGTATTTGAACTCA